TTATTGTTTTTAGTTTTATTAAATAAACCTCCTTTACCTATAAAATAAAATTGCTATAAAAATTTATTCTTATAAAATTCACTAGCTTATTTCTGAATACATTCCTTAATTCTTAATTTGTTGGTTTTTCTAAGGTAGTAAGAAATATTCGAACTGAGAAAAGTGTATAAATTTATAATTTTTCCACAATCTAATAATTAAACCAATAACCGAACTAATATTTCTTGAAGAATATTTTAAAGCAATTATTAAATTCTTATCTCATTAACTAAATCGTTAATTATCTAATTTTGATTATAATAATAATAATATTGTTTTTCTCTTTGTTATGGTGCTCATTCCTTTTGTTTTTTTATAAACTTTATACCATAATGAGCGTTATTATTCATTTGATTTATAATATATTAATTATAATAAAATAAATATTTTTGAGTAGTAATTAAATAGAAATAATTTATTAATCACCATAATATTATAAATTTTTTTTCAAGAATGTTTTAAAACAATGTAACAGGAATATATTTTTTGAATTCAATCTAATATCATTATAATAAACAAAATTTTTGTATAGTCAGTGAATTTAAAATAAAGGAATAAAACTAAAAATTTGATCCTATCATTTATATTTTTACTCTGAAGTCTTTTAATTAATTAAAACTGAATATCATGTTAAGAATGTTGATATTCAAAATCAAATAAACTGAAATGAAAATAATAAAATTTGTATTATAATTGTCATAATTATCTAAACTTTCTTATTTATATCTCCTTTGATTTATCATCCCAAGTGATCAAATACTCTCCATCATCACTTAATTATCCAAAAATAAGTTTATGATTAAATTCAATAGATTATTAAATGATAAATTCATCATTTTCTTTCTTCCTCATTAAATTAACATTAGTGCCATTCTTATTCACTAGAATGCATTTAGACTTTAAGTATTATTATGGAAATAAAATATTCTCACCACCTGAACCATATTTTACAGCAATTTGCTTAGTCTTGCTATACTATTTAGTATTACTATCTATCTCATATATATCCATGTATTCTTAACATTTTGGTTAGAATATAAATTAATAATCATTAATAAAACATAATCTTAATCCATATTTATCTACTTTTATCTTTTATGTAACATTCCATTTATTATCCAACTTTTATAATTCTATTACTAATATTTATGAATCAAATGAACAAGATATCAATTTATTTTATTGATCATTTAAGCTTAATGAATATACTTATTAATTATGATCAGTTATGGTTTATTAACACATCCATTTATCCTATTTCATCCAAAATTTTATTGTGTTATCTTAACTACCTGAGATAATTAGATCATCAGTATTATTTAATTATAAACAATATATAGGATATGAATGTCCATTCAATATTTATTAATATTTCCATTAACTATTTCCTATCTCTTACCATATAATTATTGAACTATCATGACTTCCAGATACAAAATTATTTGTATTTTTCATGAAATTCAAAGTATAAACATTATATCTATGATCACTTAGTATTTATATTTAATCCAGTTTCCCTTATTTATGTTGAAATACTTTAATATTCTTATCACATCCAGCTACCACGATTGAGCAATCTTTATTAAAAGCAATAGCTTAACACCATTCAGTTTACTTAATTTTATTTTAATTTATGATTTCAAAGGTGAATGGGTTTAGATTTTAAGATTCTTTAATTTATTTATTTTCTTTTTCTTCAATATTTTATTTTAGATTAATTTATTGAATCTCAAAATCTTTATTTTTTATGATTTCTTCATATCTTTTGCATTCTCTCTTCCTTTCTTCAATTTCTTTATCCAGAGATTTATTAAATTTTTATTCCTTAATCTTAAGTTCTCTTTGTACAATAGAGTTTATTGATGGTTATAACTCAGATATTATTTAGTTTGTTAGATCAGAATGTATGTATTCATTTGTAAATATTGATGGTGATTGAATAATAAATTAAGGGCTTGTGGATAAGAACTAAAAATTCGAAAGACAAGGATGAATTGAATCCAAAAGAATTTAATCAATTGATTAGCTTATTTTATTATAGGATGACTTTGAAGCTAATAGAAATAACTTAACATACTTCTATTTATTCTTATGCTA